TGGATTAGAAGGGGAGTAGCTAGTAGGTTGCAAGAGGTCCTCTTGTCCCTCTACTCTTGCCCTGGTGAGGCCACATCTGGAATGTTGTGTCCAGTTCTGGGCCCCTCAGCTCAAGAGAGACAGGGAACTGCTGGAGAGAGTCCAGTGCAGAGCGAAAGGAGTGGAACGTCTCCCGCGTGAGGAAAGGCTGAAGGAGCTGGGTATCTTTAGTTTGGAGAAGTGGAGGCTGAGGGGTGACCTCATAAATGTTGATAAATATGTCAAGGGGGGTGTCAGGAGGACAGAGCCAGGCTCTTTTCGGTGACATCCAATGACAGGACAAGGGGCAATGGGTACAAGCTGGAACATAGGAGGTTCCACAAAAACATTAGAAAAAACTTTTTCACTGTGAGGGTGACAGAGCCCTGGCACAGGCTGCCCAGGGAGGTTGTGGAGACTCCTCTGGAGACATTCAAAACTCGCCTGGACGCGTTCCTGTGCGATCTACTGTAGGTGATCCTGCTCTGGCAGGGGGGCTGGACTGGATGATCTTTTGAGGTCTCTTCCAGCCCCTGACATTCTGTGATTCTGTGTGATTCAAAGATGACAAGAGTTATTATGCACTCTGTGTAACGTCTTTTCATACAAAGCACGCCTTGGAAAGCTGCTCATATGTGAAGAATGGGTATTGCTGTGATAGACTTCTAGTTCTGTCACACTGAAGTTAAAATACTAATAGGAAGAAACATCTCCCTTATGAGGAAAGGCTGAAGGAGCTGGGTCTCTTCAGCTTGGAGGAGACTGAGGGGTGACCTCATTAATGTTTATAGATATGTAAAGGGTGAGTGTCAGGAGGATGGAGCCAGGCTCTTCTCAGTGATGTCCAATGACAGGCCAAGGGGCATGTTCAAGCTGGAACACAGGAGGTTCCACAAAAACATTAGAAAAAACTTTTTCCCTGTGAGGGTGACAGAGCCCTGGCACAGGCTGCCCAGAGAGGTTGTGGAGTCACCTTCTCTGGAGACATTCAAAACCTGCCTGGACGCGTTCCGGAGTGACCTATTGTAGGTGTTCCTGCTCTGGCAGGGGGGTTGGACTAGACGATCTTTTGAGGTCCCTTTCAATCCCTAACATTCTGTGATTCTGTTAAAATAGATAAATAATCACCTATAATTACATAATAAAAGTTTTTTTAACAGGAGACTTGAAATAAGGTGAAAAGAGAATGCAATCAGAACCACAGGAGAGTAATTTCAAGAAAATCAAGTACAGCATATCTTGCCAAGGAGGCACATCCTGAAGAGATATTGAAGAAGAAGCTAATGTTAGCTGGTAGGGCAGACATAGCTGAAGCAAGTTTGGGGAGAATTTTAACCAGGAGAGCAAATTTTGAAGCTGATTCTGGACTAGGTGAGTGAAGTCCACACACATTTGAGATGACACTGTTTGTGCCTCTAACTTTTGTGTATATGTAAGACATTGTGAGCTCTCTAGATACCAAATGTTGGGAAACACTGAAGTTAAAGAACATGAAAATATAAGGTCGAATTGAAAATTAGAGCCAGAATAAAGGTGTGCAACAGCAGTAATACCAATATTTCAAATAGGCAAGTCTTCAAATGCTTTGATCTTTGGTAATGTGAAGAATCAATGTAATTTAATATCTTAATCAAAACAAGGCAGATAGCACAAAACTGTGCATTTCTGAGAAGTATCTCTGAAAGCTTCCTTGGTGAATACAGAGAATGTAAGAGAGGAGCCATTATCACACAGCATGAAGGTCAGCGGTATTGTAATAGCAGAAAGGAAAGGTAGAGCTGAATGGTGCTGAACTGAATATTTCGTCTTGAATAATATCCAACTCTGATGTGACGTGAAGAGTACAAAGAGAGAAATCACCCACAAACATAGGATTAGATATGCAGAAAAGGCACCAAGTGAGAAATCACAGAAGACTATTTTTTCTATTTACCAGGAGTCATGGTAGCTTTGGGGTTTTTTTAATTTCTTTTTGATATGCAGACGAAAACTAGAGTAACTGCCTCTCTGTCTGAAGATGCTCATAATCCCTCAGTCTTGCTTTCCACATTGTAATATAAACAAATTTTTATCGGTACATGCAGCAGTGCAGTTTTACCCCACTGCTTACTGATAAAACCATGCTTACTCATCACCGAGGCGTCCTAGTCTGCTTACGACACCTTGAATTATCTTCTCTTGTTTCTCTGACAGGTGCTTTTGCATCACAGCAGACATAGCATATTCCTTCATCCATAGCTGAAAGCAGGAGAAAAAAATTACAGTTGTAAGACACTCTGATTTCAGTCATTCTAGTCATCACACTAAGAAACAGGGGTTTATTTGACATTATTTTGCCAAATCCAATCATCCCTCTCTTCCAGGAAACAAACTCATGCTGAATTAAAATCATTCTACGTAGGACTATTCTTCCTCAATGATTAAAGTCTTAAAATTCACTAAAAAGTAAGGAAGGCTTTGCACTGGTTTGGATCAGCCCCGAGCTGTGCCTCCTACAGGTTTTCTGGTTTCAGCAATGGAGGAACAAGAGAAAAAGAACAATATGGCACAAAATATTGCATCGACTTTCATCAGCAGGGTGCAGTGGGATTTTTGCTTTTTTTTTTTTTACTAGTAGAGAATGTGGTTTTTGTTTTCACTGAACAAAATAAAGGTATCTTCCACCACACTTCTGTGTTTAGCACCCAGTGCTAAGAGATAGAAATTAAGATTGTACAATTATGTGAATGGACTACAGGTTTACAGCTCCTTCAGGATGATATTTAGATCAAAGAATTTAATCTTTAAACATTCTGATGGATCTGCCATTAGACTGTAAACTTTTGGAGATATGGACTTAAGATTTTGTTTAGTGCATTGACAGAATTTAAGGAATAAGCCTTAAGATGAAACCGTTGTGAGGCCCAAACTCTATTATTGTGAGATGAAGAGCATATTTTAGGCTACACTGGCAGGTGGATGAATGCAGGTTGCCTGCAGACATATGCAGAGCCCTAAATTAAATACAATACTCAGGCTCCCTGACAGCTCCACTTCATACTCTAGCCTCATTCAGAACATGAGCGATAAAATTTTCTATTATTGCAGACAGCAAGGTTTCACTAGATCAGTATGTCTAGATGTGAAATTGCATAATTAGTTAGTGTTAGTGTTAGGAATTAGGAGTGCTACTGGGCCTTCATGCTGGACTTGACATCCTTTTCCTTGGAAAGCAGTGATCTGTGCAGGAGAGACGCTTTATCTGTGAGCACAGAACGAACTCCCCCAGGAAGTGCAAAACATCAGAAAACACATCATCTTTGGCTGTAAAACAAAACCATATTTCTTGGATAGTGTCTTTTCTGTTGTATACACAGCAACACATCGAACCGACCGCTGTCCATGCAGAAAACCTACCAAAACACATGCTCCTGAGCAGGAGGCCTGGGAAGGCTGGGCAGGCAGTCAACAGGTGACAGATGGAAAGAGGGCAGCTGAGCGTGAGCAACATAGCCTCAAAGTCTGTAGGGCACCGGGGAACCCGCTGGGCTGCTCTTGTGCAGCCAGACCTCACCTGATTTGAGTCTAGGTGATTCTTAAAATCACAGAGCAGAGCCGAGCACACTGCCTTCCCTGACTGCATGCTGCAAGTGTGAAATTAAAGTCTACCAGGTATCGTCAGGACAGATGGCAAATACTTGCTTGAAGTAACTGTATCAGTACTTCCCTTTACCAGCTCGGTGGATCCGGCTTCCTAGTGTTTCACACCTCTCTGCAGATGTTTTACAGATCAACTGCACCGTGCATTTTAATGTCTCTTCCAGCAGTTAAAAGAAGTGCTGAAAATGACCTTTTACTTTCCAGGTATTTTCATTTTTAATGAGAGATTGGCTGTGGCTCAGATGCAGTTTTCCATCATGGTTATTCACTGAGAAGTTGCTCTTTAAGGGCCTCTCTGCCCACTTACTGTCAAACAGCATGAGAACAGCATAAGACACAGAAGTCAGGAGATGTTTTCTGAATTACAGTTGGAATAGTAAATAATATCAAATTGCAGACAAGAAACTGAAGTTTAGCACCTCTGCTGCTTTCAGTAATCCCATCTAAAAAGTCACTCAACAATAATGAAGATAGGGCTTGTAGTCATATTTAATTCTGTTTATGAATAAATATCCTATTTCTGTACTCGAGAACAGTTTCTTTGAAAGGAAAAGGACTCATCTTTTCCATTGCAAGTGCATTTAAGGTAAGCCATATGCAAAATTTATAAAAGGTCTTTTTACCTCGCTGAGACCAGTGGAAAGGTGAGAATACAGGAGAAAATCCCCCCAGTGCACAGTTATCAAACTGAACAGTAGAAGTACATCAACCATAAAAGTAGTAAAAGAATAAAGAGGAAAGGATGGGGATTAATATGTATTTCAGATGGAATGATAAATAAAGGAGACTGAGATTTGGACCAAGTACTATACCAGTGTTTTTTCTCAAAAAGGCCATTAGGAAGGTGATCAAGAAGGGAAGGATCAGCTGGAAATAAATGGAATATTGTATTTTTTTTTATTAGAGGCAACACTTCAGCAGCTCACTGGGATGGGCTGTAAGGGCTGGGTATTTTCCACCTCTGAAATACTAGAAGAACACACACATACAGACACAAAAAGCAGCAGCAAGGATCCCCTGGGAATGTTAATTTGGGGCTGCTGGCGTCTGGCTGAAAACCAGCAAAAGAGAGACAAGTGTTTCACCAAGCCAGGTGGAAAGGTCAGGCTTTGTGCTGCACTGATCTTCCAATGCTGGGTCAAGTCATCAGGTTCTTCTCCAAGCTTCCTTGTCTTTGGAATGGCCTTATTTTGCCCGGAGACAGGTCAGTACAGAGCGGAAAAAATCATGCTGTTGCACAGACTCAGTGGCTGGAAAAGATATTAGGCACTCTGATTCCTGCATTTAAGTAGTAAAATCAGTGACAAAAGCATGGTAAATGGAGGGGTAAAGCTCTGAGGAATGCCTGGCTTCTTGAAAAATCATTCCAATTGCTATGACAAAATGAGTAGAGAACAGAGAGAAAGCAGTAAAATGCAGACTATGTCAAAACTGGTAAGCAGATAGCCGGTTCAGCTTTCTGGGTGTCAAGCAATGACATGGGCATGGACAGAAATCTCCTCACCCCATTTTTATTTTGTAAGCTCTCAGTGTTTTCCTTCCTGGCAATAAGCCCACTACAACACCTTCTGGAGGGACTGCTAACGTTAAGCAGTACGCTCTGGCAATAAAAGTGAGGACTATTCCTCTTGTAAGTAATGAAACCCATAAAATATTTCGAGTTAGACCTCAGATACAACAGCAAATTAGACCCAAGTAAGCTCACTCTTTTTTTCTGCAGCTTTCAGTCTGATATTTTCAGCACAGATTATTCAAGTCGAAAGAAAGCAATTTCTTCCTAACAGCCTGTAGATGGGGTGCGATGCACACTGAATGCCAAGCAAGATCCTCAGCCTGGTGCAGCAGTCTGCTCCCCAAAACCACTGCTCAGGCAGAAGAGCTCCTCTACGGAAATCATGAGGTAAGAGTTATGTGGGAAAATACTCAAAATTTATTTTCATGAATCATTTATTCCTGTTTGCCTTATTCACACCCTCAAGCATATAAGGCGAAGTTAAATGTAAAACTGATCTTTTATTTTCAAGAGATTCTGTTTTCCCAAAGGATGTTATATTCCAGACACTTAAAAATGCTAGGAAAGATAATAAAAAGATAAAAAAAGCAGTTTGAGTAAACAAGAAAAATGCTTTTTTGAGCCACCTTGAAAAGCACACAGAAATACCAGGTGAAAAGCCTTCTGGTATTCGACTTTCCAAGCCCGTAAAGCAGATGACTGTGTAACTCTTAGTATAGTACATTTATCAAGAGCCAGATGAAAGACTTATCTCCTGCTGGAAAATACCTGATAAATTAAAAGGCGTATCAATATATATGTTGATTTAAGGATCTTCCATCACATTCCTCACTGTAACATCTATTGGATCTCCTAAACAACATGATCAGCTGTTCCAAGTATCTGATCTGATCTCTCTTCTGCTTTCCTTTGGGTGGAAGCCAAGAGCTCCTTTTTGTAGGATGCAAGTGTCATTTCAGTGCTTAAATGCGCATTGCTCCTGCATTTATACTAGGAAAGGGCCAAGAAATCCACTTTGCGCTTGAACGAATATAATGATTTGGGTGATGTATTTCAGACTCATCCATACAGGAAAATCTGCCAGCCTCTTTAACAGAATTGCTGTCTCCCTGCATGCTCTCTTTGGAGATATATAACAGACTTTTTTCCAGCTCAGTCCAAACCACTTCCAAAAAGCCGTGTGCATTAAGTTAAAAAAGGTCCTGCAAAGAATATTGTCTTGAGTAATCACACATTTTCCCTGTAGAAGAAATCCTTGCCTCTTCTAGGAGTTTATCCCCCAGAATCACTTGTCCTTACGACTGCTTTGTCTGCTGCTCAGGGAATTTTTATATTGTATAAGGTCCAACTGCAGTGCTGGTGACCCAGAGACCAATGTGAGAGCTCTGTCATTGCTACGTGACTTCCTCTCTGGCTCAGTAATTATTGTTAATGATGTCAGCAAACACACTTTATTCTTTTTTTTTTCTTTTTTTTTTTTGTTTTCTCCCCAGCTAGGAAGCAATCTGCTTTATATTATGAATGCCATGGTACATTGAAAATGATGGAAAGTCAACTTCCTAATTTAAATAACCTATGCTTGAGCATGACTGAAACATCTGCATTCACACACAAAGAATCCATCACACAGTGCTGCCCAAAGAGCTATTACCCAGCAACTGTGCTGGAGATGAACTAATCCTTTTAATCCCTTGAGAAAAAATCCCAGGGTGTGGTTTCTCCACTCAATAGGATGTCCTCCCAAGTTCCTCAGAATGATTATCCTGTTACACGAGGATCAGCGCGGCCAAGTCAGAGATGGCGATACACTCTCTGAGCCCTTCTCAATAACCAAAGGTGTGAAACACGGTTGTGTTCTCGCACCAACTCTATTCACAATCTTCTTCAGCATGATGCTCCAAAGGGCCACGGCAGACCTCCATGAAGGTAACGGCATTTACATCCGTTATCGTACCGATGGTAACCTGTTCAACCTGAGGCGACTGAAGGCCCACACTAAGACCCTAAATCACCTTGTCCATGAGCTGCTTTTTGCTGACGATGCCGCCTTCGTTGCTCACAGAAGCAGCTCTGCAGCGCTTAACATCCTGCTTTGTAGAGGCTGCTGAGCTTTTTGGGCTGGAAGTCAGCTTGAAGAAGACTTCTTTACCAACCTGCACCTCAGGAAGTCTCCCATCATCCCCACATCACCACAGGCAAATCAGAGCTTAAGTCAGTCCAGCAGTTCAACTACCTAGGAATCCTCGGATGGTGAGATTGACAAAGACATAGACAACAGGTTAGCAAAGGCTTAGAGAGCTTTTGGAAAACTCCATAAAAGAGTCTGGTGCAAGAAACACCTGAAGAAAAGTACAAAGATGAGTGTCTACAGAGCCATTGTACTGTCTGCTCTTTTATATGGGTCTGAATCATGGGTCATCTACTGCCACCACCTGCAACTCCTCAAACGCTTCCATCAGTGCTGCCTCCATATGATCCTAAAGATCCGCTGGACTGACTATGTGACTGATGTTACTGTCCTTGAACGGGCAGGGGTCACCAGTATTGAGGCCATGCTGCTGAGCACGCAGCTGCGCTGGGCAGGGCACGTCTCCAGGATGGAGGATCACCGCCTCCCTAAGGTTGTGCTCTGTGGTGAACTCGCCACCGACTGCCACAACAGAGGAGCCCCAAAGAGGAGATACAAGGGCTCTCTGAAACAACACCTCAGTTTTGGCCATATTGACTGCCATCAGTGGTCCACTCTGGCCTCCAGTCGGGAGATGTGCAGACACACCATCCATAACGCTGCTGCCTCCTTTGAGAATGCACAGAGAATTAGTCTCGAGGAGAAAAGACAACGCAGAAAGAACCGTGCCTCACCAATACCGCATAAGGAGACTTTCCGCTGTGCCTTTTGCAACCGGACTTGCCTATCCCGCATCGGCCTTTTTAGCCATCAGCGTGCTTGTAGCAAGTGTGGGTAGAGCCCTTCCAGAATCTTCATTCGCAAAGCCTAGCCATGATGATGATGACTGTGCCCAATGACAGTATCAGAGAAATGCATAAAAAGCATTTTTGAAACAAAACTTCAGACATGAGATCTTCTCCTCTGTGGAGACTCTCCTAGCCATTAAACCACATCCTCTCTGGCCCTGAAAAATGGCTGAGGTTCAATGGGACAGTGGAGGGACCATAGCAGAGGTGGCCTTTCATGCACTCTGACTTCTGGGACTAATCCCAAATCGCACACCAGAACCTCCTCCTTCTCTGACTGTGGTTTCTAATGACAGTAAACACTATCACAACATAACAATATGATATGCTTGTAGTTCATCTACTAGACCAGTCAGCTCAGGTCACTCACATTCAAGGACAGGCAATTTGTGAACCCTTGGTGAATGTGAAAACAAAGAGCAACATAGAGGTTTAAGCTTGCCAAGTAAGGTATTGAATCTAATCCTTGATAAAAAGGGGAAAAAAATTAAAAAACTTGAGGCCATCCACCATTTCATTAATCACTGAAGGTACAGCTATGCCAAATTAAAACACTAAACACTGCCAACAAACAGTCTTAGAAAACACAAATGCCTCGGCTTAATTTAAAGACTGTGAACGGACTCACTGACGTCAGTGGTTGGTATATTCTCATTTAGTTTGCTAGACATCCTTGTGATATTTTTCAAAATAATTGAGATAACAGTTGAGAGCTGAGTTACAATAAGGTAAATACAAAATTACCAGGGAGATGCATGTTGTGGAACTTGACATTTAGGAAAATGGAGAAGAAAAAAGGAAATGGCTAAGTATTTCCAATGAATAATTGTAATTTTTTATTCTCAAGGGTGTTCTGAAACCTCCGGTCAGCGAACCCCTCTATGAGATTTAGTAGGAAGCCCATAGTTTCCTGTATAACAAGGTTTTATGGAAGAACCTGATATATGAGTGGGCAGAAAAGCTAAACACCTCTAACAATCAGAGACTCAATCAGTACCTTATTAACCATGTACTGGATCGTTCAAGCACTTTGGAGAATGAGAGTAGTGATAATTTTATCAAAGAACTCTGCCAACATTTTATTTATGAAGCTCCAACTACTCTAACACATTGAAGCCCATGACATTTGGAAAGGGTCACACCTTTTAACAGAGAAGGTCTTTCTTTGAGTAAGCTGTGTTAGTCTTCAAAGCAGTGTTAATAGAGACATAGCACTACATGAGCAAATTGAAGGTATATTTGATTTTCTGCTCCTGCATTTACTGTTGTTTTTCTGCTCTGGTGTCAATGCCCCTAAGCTGGCCACAAGTAGAGCAGGAAAGCTGGATGCGTGTTTCTTCACCTTCTCACAGTCAAGAATAAGTTTTGTGTGCCATATGTTTCCTATTAATACATAAAAATTATTAAGAAATATTTATCATTGCAAGGCCTCCTTTCCTGTAAACTGCACTCATACATATCCTCTTAAACAGACCAGATAAAGAAATTTTTGAACTGTTTCTGCAGATGCTCAAGATTTGAGGACATCAGAGAGCAGCCTTGCCAAAAAATCATTTATATGCTGACAAAGCCATCAAACACTGTGGACAGATGTTCAGTGATTACTCTCTGACTTGTCTATGCAAGTCCACGTGCACAGCATTTTATATTCGCTCCGTACTGCTGGTCAAACTGTCCATCCTGAGTCTGCACCTAGACTGCACATTTGTATACAAAATAATCCCCACAGATAAGTATCTTGACAATTTTTTTCCATATCTCTGTTTTTAGACTCTGAGGTCCCAGAACACAATAAGGGTCTTACTTTTTTTTCTTGCAATAGCTGCTCCTGGAAAAGCTTCCAGCGTCTCTGGCAGTGGGCCTCCCATTTCTCCAGCTGAGGGACCAAATTCTCCTGCCATTCCTTTTTCAGCAGCTCACAGTCTCTTACGGAGAGGCTGGTCACAACAGGCAGGGTTTGAAGAAACAGCTCTGTCACCAACTTCGCTAAAGTGTGGGAAGCTTTAGAGTACAGCTCCTAGCAAAGAGAGAGACAGGTGAGAAAGCGAACCCCCCAGCTCTTTGGAGCTGTTTCATTGCATGTCTCCATGATGCCAGCGAGGGAACCATGTCCCACTGAAGGCACTGGGTCAGTGACCCCTGAGGCTAAAATCCAATGGCTTTTTAACTCCAGCTACTAGTGCTGGAGTTAAAAAGACCAGGTGATGCAGACAGAACAACTTCTATGCTGTCCTGGTGCAAAAGCACCAGGACAACAGTTCCCTGGGGCTCCTGACACTGGTGACAACCATAGTGAAGGGAGGAGAGGATGGGTCAGGTGACCCAAATTGACCAATCACAGTGTTCCTTCCCATGGTGCTCAGTATATAAGGGCCCCTAAGAAGAGCCCTGGGGTCTTTAGTGTTGCTGTGCTGGGAGGATTGCTCTTGGCTGTTTGTTACCTCTCCCTGGGCTGCTGAGGATCCCGTCTCCTGTCTTCACACTGCAGAGGAGCACTGCTGAATGGGTTGTCTTCCTCTGCTTCTCTTGGGGGGACCAGTACAGGTACTCCAAGTTTTCCTTTAGATTTTTTTTTTTTTTTTTAGACTGTCACTGGGACTCTGGGCTCGGGTGCTCTTGTCTGCTCCCAAGTCCTGACTTTTTTTCTTGGGACTTAGTTGTGACCAGGAAGGCCTGGATTCTGTATTAACATATTCTCTTGTATCTTTGAACATGCTTGTATAATATCTGTATGTAGTTTCACATCTTCATTGCTGTTTTTAGTACTGTTTTCCTTTTTTGTTAAATTGGCTCAAGTTTTTTTCAACCTCAAAGTCCCCCTCTCTAGTTCCTGTTATCCTTCCCTGGGAGGGTGGCAGGGGCATCACAGAGAGCTTCTGTCAGAGTTTAGTGGCTGGTCCAGTTGGCCAAATGTTTTTCTTCAAGGCACAAAAGGACACTTAAAAGGCAATAGTAGGATGAGAATGAGACCTTGAATCTTAAATGCTGTACACATGCCAGTTAGCTCAGTCAGTTGAGCATGGCGCTAACAATGCCAAGGTCACGGGTTTGATTCCTGTTTGGTCCCCATGTGTTGCCTGATCTAGTCGAGAGGTGGTGTCCCTGGTGGCAGGGAGGCTGGATTAAATGGTCTCTAAAGTCCCTTCCCGCCCAGGGCCTTCTTTGATTCTATGCAGCTGCAGCACAAAGAATATATTGTTTTACTGGCAATGTGTTACAAAACTGCTAGTTTTGAAAGTTGCTGTAAAAACAACCTGGTGTAACACAACACTTAGTAGGCATATTTTCAAAGGTTCTGATATGAAATGAATGATGGCAAGAAAGAAGAGTTAAAAGGGGCAGAACAGCTTTTAGTTAGGCAAAACTGACATTATTCATGTTAATAGTTGGTGTTCTAAAATATGATACTCTTTAATGCCTGAAGGATGGAATTATTCAAATTATTTCTGGTGCAGAACAGGTTCAAGCCTAGCAAAACAAACATCTTTTGGTGGTTTTATTAAAACTAGTCCCATATGAGCAGCTTCCAATTGCTGAGGCTGTTTGACTCACAAGAAGAGCTGGGGTTATTTAGCCAGATGACATCCAAGCCGAAATATCTGTTCAAAACATAACTTTACCATGAAATACAGTGATGATATCAGCTGCATTTGCAAACTTGCTACAATTTGAGATAATCCCTGAGGCAAAGGAGGGAGGGCAGGTGGCTCTTCCCAGTGGAAACCAGAAACACACTGCAAAGGTCCCATGGACACTGTGATATTCCAGCAGTAGGAAGATCTATTTTTGTTTGAGTTCCACATGATCTTACCAGTTCAAAAGGACTTACTGCCCCCTCGGTTTTGCTTTCATTGTACATCAGTGTTAGTAGCCCTCTTGAAAATACTTATATTTCTTTCTTTTCCTTAGAGTACACATAATGTATTTAAAACTCCTTTTATCATTCCTGTTGCAAGAACAAGTCAAATCTTCTAGCCATTACCTTCTTTTAAGTACAGGTTTAATTACAATCTTGGTGATTAAAATCTAGAACCTCTCAAAACACAGAGATATTTATCTAGATGTCAAAAGTATTTTCTGCAGCTTATAGACATGAAAAGTTCTAGGTCAGTTTTGGAGAGATACACTGGTACAATGTAGCATTGTTTAAGAGCTCACTCGGACTGCTGGATGTGGTATCATAGAGAATAAAATAAGACAAAAAAACCCAAAGAGGGTGTTAAATTGGAAAGTCCAGAACTCAGAAATAATGTCCAGAATATAGTTTGCATGTGAAATCTAGTTCTGCGCCCCCATAATGATAAATTTGGGGCTCATATACTGTTTCCACAAGATCTTCATCTGTTCTCTGTGTTTATCAATACCCACCAAATGGATAGACTCCTTAAAAATCTTTATTTTGTATTTCTCATTTATTGTAAAATATCCAAACTGTGCACTGAATACTAAGTTATTATTTTCCTCTTAGGATCCCTTTAGGATACTAATCACTATATTAATTAGCTGCTTCACAAACGATAAATAGCTTATTTAACAGCTCCCTGCAGCAATCTCTTCTTATGGATTAAAGAGAGGCACAATGCTACAAAAAATGTTCACTACAACTTTGAGATGAGCTGTCTTGATTTTTTTCACTCTCTTACCTATTTAAAGCACGCAGGATTTTCAGAATCCAGCTCTCACTGACTTCATTTAATCCCGAAGTGTTGTGAATTCTTTTAATCTGGGCTACAGGTTTCTGAAATTGGGCACTAGGTGTTAGTATGAGAATTAGTAGTCAAAGACCCAAGGATTCGATACCTCATTTCTGGTAACACTTCTTCCATTTCTAGCGATTGCTCACAATCTGAACATGGCAGTATCACTGGGGTAATAATATTGCTACACAGGTGCATCCTATGCTGAAGGATGGACTTCCCCTACTCCTTAATTATTATAGTTACCAGTTCATGTTACAGCAAGAAGAAGGATTTATACCTGTGTAGCTGGCCCATATGAGCTTGCCAACCCTACTGCAAAATGGTGTGTTTAAACTCCCTCTTCTGCTGCTATTTACTTCAAAATTCAAGTCTCCAAATTCTGGGATTTAACATAAGCCCAAAGATCCTAAATTTCTCATCTCTGTATCCCATACAGTGTTTAAATAACAATCACTCTGTCTCTGTAAACCATCTCTTCTCTAAGCTTTATTAGCCTTTCGGGACAAGTTAAATCTCCTGGCTTTATAGAGTGTTTAAGAATGTAAGAACTTCTCTTGGGTCTGAAATAGTTCAGAAGCAGTCTAGAGGAGGCTGTGGCATTTCCACAGTAATCTCAAAAGATCTCAGGCAGGGAGTTAAGGAACTCTATTCTTAAACAAACAGAGTTTCACCTATGGCAGCTAAATCACTTTGCAACACATTTTGCTGCAGAACTGATGGCATTTTGCTGGCATACTGACACCTCTGTATTATTATTTACTAGCAAATCTATTGCACAGAACATAAAGAAGGTATTTTATTACTTGCCTTTGTGCCATTTTGTTTAAACACTAACTGAAGAGAGCTCTGCTTGCTCAGCTTCAAACTATACTGTATACTTATTTTGGGCACTAGCAGAGTGGGTATATAGTTACCCAGGAAAAATGTGACAAGGTCCTGTTCCCACAAAATGACTTATCTATATCACCCCTTTCATGTGATGGGCCAAGTTATCTCTAGATCAAAGGTGCTCAACTATTTGTTTGCAAAATACTTCATGGCCCTCTGCCAGAACTGGGTATATGAAAGGACAAGAAAGCGGGATGAGAACAGAACTAGATTAGAATAGAGGCAGTTTTTCACAGCAACAGTCCCCTCAAATTGAAAACGCTGGGTGAATATATGGAAGTGAGGCAGGACTAGGCAGTATGTTCTTTACACCTCATGACTGTTGCAGACGGGCACATAAAGCAAGAGCAAGCCTGGTCAGGTGCTCTGTGTGCCTGGGATGGTGATTCTGAACAGGAGCGAACACTTTCCCTTTATGTTCTGTCAGACACGTGTCCTCTGTGCAGGACACAACTTCTGTACTTAACCCAACCCATCTGCGGTCCAGGATGACAAAATAAACCGCTGTCAGTGAGGACTATCAAAATACCAACTTCTCTTCAGTGTTCAAGGAACCACCAAGTTCTTTAATCTGAACACATAGTCATAAGGACGTTAGACCCCAGGCAGTCCTTGCAACCCAGACCGTAACATGACAGCACGCTCCACCCACAGGATGTACCACAGGTACAATACGATGGCCACTCTGTTTAATGCAGCATTTGAAAAAACACAATGAAGTAGCTTGTTAAAATCTGGCAGGAGAAACGGCAAGTTTACATTTAGGAAAAATTGCAGCTGTGATTGAATTCTGCCAAAGCGACTTGAGCTAACAAAACAGTTCAAAACTATTTGTACTCTAAGGAATGTACTTGATCTGAAACAGCCATAAAGCCTGTCTGCGAACACAGGCAGCACGCTATGTATTGTAAAGCTTATTTTCCACCGGAAAAAAAGAAAATGGTTAAGACATCCGACTGCTTCCAGGATCTTATTTTTGGACTAGAATCCCTACAAAATAGTTTTTACAAGCTTCGTGATACGCCATCTCTTGTTTTTAGAACTTTTACTTAATGATTCCATTAATAGAATAGCTGATTACAGTGTTGAATGAACGTGTTTATAGTACCTGGCAGCCAATTTCAAAGCTTTTCAAAAAATGTCAAGAGAAATTCATCAACCATAAAGAAATACTATGAGGTATATGCAGAAATCAAATGGGCTCAGATCTAAATGCATCTAGATTTCAAACAAGGCAATAAATACATAATTTTGTCAAAACCCAGGGGAAATACACAGCTTATCGGATTTCACTACAAACCCAAAGAACAATATTAATGCTCTCCCTCAAACCCAGATGATTAAAAGGTTCTTACGTGCAGATGGGAATAAAATGAATAGTAAAACTGTGAAACAGGAAAACATATTTCGAAAGGCTGGTCATACTGTA